CAAGGATAGTGAAACTCCACCTCACATACTTTAGACATTTTGTCAGGAGGGCCAGTCCTTGTACAGTATCAGGCTTGGAAGGGTAGAGGTCAATGCAAAAGAGGAAGACTCTGAATGAAATGGAGTGACACAGTGACTGTGGGTTCAGATGTGTCAGAGGTGGTGAGGTTGGCTCAGGACAGAACAAGGTTCAGCGTTCTCAGGGTCACTGTGAGTCATAGCTGACTAGATGGCACAATACACCACCAGCACTGTTGATAATACAGGACTGTGTTTAACAGTGTCTGCTGTGCATCTGTGTTTTCCCTTTAGCCAGTGAAATTACGCTGATCTGTCTGATTGCATGTTGTCTTCTCCTTCACCCATCTTGTGTCTATTACCTACTCAGTGATTTTTTTCCTTCTCCTCCTCCACTCACACTCTAGTAATTGTGAAAGAATGTTTCTGTGTATACACTTTCCTGTGTTGTTATGTGCCATCAAGTTGCTTGTAACTTACAGTGACCCTATGCACAATAGCTCTAAACCCTGTTCAGAGCCAATCTCACTGATTCTGACACACCTTCCCTTATTACCCCAGTCACTGTGTCAATCCATTTCATCTGAGGTCTTCCTCTCCTGTGCTGTGCCTCCATCATTCCAAACATGATGACCTTCTTCAAGGACTGGTCCCTCTTGGCCACATGCCCCAAGTATGTGAGATGGAGCTTCAAAATCCTTGCCTCCAGAGAGAAACTCGTTTCACTCTCTCCAGGACAACCTGTTTGTTCTCTTGGCAAATATGGTATGTCCAAGACTCTTCTCCAGCACCACAACTCAAAGGCATCAATTCCTTTGGTCTTCCTTAGTCATTGTCCAGCTCTCAGATACACAGCAAATAATTGTGAAGACCATTGCCTAGATCAGGTGCACCATAGTCTCTAGAAAGGCATCTTTGCTCACTCTGGAGAAATCTCTGAACATAAGACTTTCCTAAGCCAATTCATCTTTTGATTTCCTGGCTCCTGTTTCCAAGAATGTTGATTGTGGAGCAGAGCAAGCCATAACTGTCAACAATCTCAATCACTTCTCCATCTAAAATTGTGCTACCAATTGGCCCAGTGGTGAGAATTTTTGTTTTCTTGATGTTGAGCTTCAATCCATATTGAAGACTGCAGTCCTTGATCTTCCGCAACAGACACTTCAGATCTTCCTCAGTTTCAACGAGCAATGTTATATCATCCGCATAACATAAACTGTCCATTCTTCTAAGGCAGACACCAGAAAAGAGCAAGGAAATACTGCATGGTTCAAAATTAGGAAAGGAGTGCATCAAGGATGCATCCTGTCTCCATCCCTTTTCAGTCTGTATGCAGAATAAGTCATTTGAGAGACTGGCCATTATGAAGAGGAATCTGGCATCAGAATTGGAGGAAGACTCATCAACAATTTACATTACATCTCTCTAAGGAGCATCCGGAAATTCTCTCTAAGATATTTGGGGTTTTTCTCTTGGCAATCCATGGGATATTTAGTGCTCTTCTCCAGAATCACCACAAAAAGGCGTTGACTGTTCTTCTATTGTCTTTATTCACTGTCCAACTCCCAGATGCCTAGAAGTGTATGTAACCTGTTGGGTGCTGTTTGTCTGCATTGTGGGTATTTGAGGTACACTATTTCATCTGCAACAACCTTTCAAGAGTATTCTCATTTTACAGATAAAGAAACAGATTCAGAGATTTTAACTGAGTAATCTTAAAAAAGGCTGTAAGTAAAAAAAAAAAAAAAAAAGGCTGTAAGTAACAGAATCAAACTTTAAAAGCCAGAGGTCTCCACTTCTAAACTTCGAAGATGCCTGTCAAATGGTTTCTCCTAGACATGATAATGAGATTACAAGCTTTTGCTTGGATTATAAGATCCAATTACAATAAAAGTAGTATTTAAAAAGACTACTGACTTCTATGTAAAATGTTCTATAGCATTTGAATTTCATATTACCACATCAAGAGTTATTTTCATTATCCTATTTATAACCGAAAGCTTTCAAGGAAAAGTTGTCCTTAGAAAACTACTCTCTGTGTATCAAAGATGACATATTTTATAAGCTAGATGATATAAAATAAATTATCTCAATATAGCCTTGAATTTGTTATGATATATCCTTTCTGAATTATCTCCTAAAAGAGAAAATAATGTATGTGTGAACAATGCATGTGTGAATTGAATTTCAATGGCCAAGCATTATTTCCTTTCCTCAAAATAAAAATAAAAGGACCTTTAAGAGACATTTTCAGTAACTTTTTTTCTTCCCTGAGTAAAATAAGCAAGTCCAAAGGGCACCTTGACTAGTCCTTAGGAAATAAAAGCTGAGCGCAGGGAAATCTGGAATTCCAATCACATTTGCACCTTCTCTCCTTTTTTACATTTCTCATCCAAACAGATCCTGAAGAGCTCAATAGGCTTAACAGAATTGGAGCAGAGTCGAGAACAAAGGTGAAGGAAATCTAAGCGAGGGTTTAAACAGCTTTTCTCACCATCTTAATAATTTCAAATCGAGTGACTTATTTTCCAGCAGCTGTAAAAGGCACCAACGTGTACAGGCAAGTGTAAAAAAAGTTCCTCCAGCTGCTCACAGCCTCAAAGTGGCATCGGACCTAAACAGACAGGCAGCTCAGAAATGAATTACTTTGGGGCAAGAAATACAAGGAAGCAGTAAAATCTATATGCTTCCAAGGAACACAGCTATCAAATTTGAACACATTCGCTTTAACCACTTAAAAGTTATAGACTGAAAAAAAAAAAGTGATATCCTAAACAACCAGATCATAATATTCTTTTTACTAGAAGAATATTAACATGTGCCTTCACGGTGAAGATGATTATTTATGTTATAATTAACTATGTTCTTTCTTGAGATGGAGAATAATTTTAACACATACCAAATGCCTTTATTCAAGAAACTAAATGTACCTACATCATAGGTAAATACACAGTAAAAGAAATGTACTGATGAAGTATGTAGCATCTGTGGTTTACTCATCTTACAAATGAGATTTTTCTAAAAAAATCGCAAACAAGGTAACATCTTTTGAAAAGAAAACCAGTTTAATATTCCCTTTAAGACCAGCAATGGAGATGAGAAAAATGTCAGAGTTATCTCAGTTTCATATGTGAATGCCTTTTATTAAGTTATTTTAACTCTGAATAATCCTTTCCTGGGCTTTTTTCTTAATACAAGTATCAGAGGAATTCGGCTTTTCCCGAGCCCTACTGATGGGTCTATAAGGCCCATCTGCCTTTAAGTGGTTGCTGCTGGGATTTCTTCATTACTTTAAGCCACAGACAAAGACAATAACAATGATGAAATAACATAGAATGATCTAGACGATTCTGGCCATCCTGGTGTTTTGTGTGTATTATGTGTAGCAAATCCAAAGAGGTACAACCAATTCCTTCGCCACAGGGGAAAGCTTCTGTTTTCCCTTCATGTGATAAAATGATGGTCCAATGATTAACACTTTGGAAAACTCTTCATTCAAAGAGAGGGCACATAGGCTATAGGATCTAATATCTATAATCAATCAATGAATGTGTTGGTTCTAGCTGGTAGCACAAATACTAAGAAATGGGCAGCAGCAGACTGAAAGCAAAGCCTTACTGGGACCCACCAACACTCACTGGACATAACAGCTAGTATTTGGGGTGCGTAATCTATTAACACAGATGAAGATGTCACAGCTCACCCTATACACACTATCAGCAGCTGATGAGGGAGGGCTTTTTTGGTTTCGTTTTTTGGGGGTTTGGTTGTTTTGTTGTTTTGGTTTTTTTAATAGAAGAATGTACTGAAAACAAAGGTTTAAAAGCGGCAGCTATTGTTTGAGGGCAGGAAAAAGAACTGCCCTAAACGTGTTGGGTTGTGTTAAGGTTTTTTCCCCCCCCTGAATGCAAGTTCATGTCTAATAAAGCAATGGGGGGGGGGATCACTACAGCTCAGCAGGGCCAAGGGCCAAGTCCAGTCTTTCTCCCCTGGAAACTCAGTGAAGTAGGTTTTCTCGATTGGAGTTCTTTGACCAATCTTCTCATGGTGCTCCTGGTTGTAGGAGCTTCTTGGGCACAGCTCAAAGTGATGCATGCTTCCCGGTAAGGTCCTAGTTCAAACATAATGCTAGCATGGAGTTTGACAACTAAAATATATTCTTCTGGGCGAGAACACAAACTCGAAATCCCGAAAGCGGAAAGGAATTCGTGCAAAGGATATGGGGTGCAGAGGGCGAAGGCTCAGGCAATAACCGAGGCGTTTCTAGGAGGCGTAATCTACACTCTGGTGTCGATGTGCACTAATGCGTTTCCTCCTTCACTCTGATCTCTCTCACCCATTGCATATGGGTCCCCAGTAGGTTCGGTCTGATTGCCTGTTGCGGTCTACTTTCCAGGCGCTGAAACTTCGCCCTGGTTCTGGGCGACAGACCTGGCCCCTGGGGTCCCTGCAGGGCAGGCGCGTCCAGGGCAGCGCGTCGGCGAAGCGTGCCAGGCGTGCCGCGCGCAGGGGGGCGAGGTCCGGGTCCTAACTGCAGAGGCGACCTTCTGCCCTTGTCATACCCCTTCTGATGCTGCAGCGGGCTAGGCTGTTTTTAGTAGTAAACTTCCTTCTATCTACAGAGAGCAGCAAAGCGAGGACCCCGGTGGCAATGCTCACTCGGAAGAGAGGACCCAGGACGCGCGGTGTCCAGCTGTCCCCTTTACTGTCTTCTTGCAGCCACGCATCTAACTAAGGGCCCCCGGGAGGGAAAGGACCACCCCAGAGCTCGCTCAGCCGGGGGCGCAGAGGGAGGCTCGCCCCGGGGTTGCTCTGTGCCCAGGCTCTCCACTCTGGCATCCTCGACGCGTCCCCGGGATGCAGCCCTGGCGACCAGAGGACCTGAGGGGTCATCTTCCTGCCAAGAACTACACCGAGAATCTGGGGGCGCACAGGACCGGCGCTCAGGAGGTCCCCACAACGGCCACTCGGCCGCGCCTTACCTGCCCGTGGCGACTCCGGCAGCCCCTTGACAGCCCCCGCGAGCCGCCACTGGAAAAGTTTCCCAACTTCCTCGCAGCTCAGCGCGTCCTCGCTCCGGGTGGACCCCAGGAGAGCCAGGAGGAAGAGACAGCTCACGCGCACACGCCGGCTCGGCCCTTCCATCGCCGGGGCTCCAGGCGCCGCTGCGCCCCAGGCGGACCCCACTTTCCGGGAGCACTGCGCTGCAGGCAGGGCCAAAGGCTCAGCGGCCGGCGCTGCCAGCGGGGTGCGGTCTGGCAGGGGGGCTTTGGGGAGCCAGGGGACCGCGGTCCGACCCCAGATTCACCCGGGATGACAGCGCCTTGTCCTGAGCCGCCCGGGGTTGAGGCTCCGGAGTCCTCGCGCTGAGCGCCGCTGGGCTCCCTCCGCTGCCGAAGCGAGCAGCCGCTGCGAGGGCGCAAAGCCGCCGCTGGAGACGCAGAAGCGCGCGAGCCCCGGGCGCGGAGCCGGTACCCTGGATGCGCCCGCGCTGCGCTCTGCAGGCAGGCCCCGCCCCAGCCAGCACGCCCCGCCCCTGGCCACGCCCACCTGCCACGCCCCCGGCGGGGCCTCTGCAGCCACAACTGAGATGCTGCCAGCGCCCAGCCCAGCCGGAGACATCCAGCCCCGCTGCCGGCAGAGACAGAAACAAATGCACCCAAACCCGGAGCTCGCCCTCCCAGGCCTTCCAGGGTGTCATGGAGTCGAGTATGGCACCTAACCTAACGACCCTATGAATAAGAGATCTGACCTCTGTGTTATCCTGTGCCATCCTCACAGCTCTGACCCAAGAAAACCCACTGTTGCAGTCGGTCCTTCTGGTCCAGCATGATGTCCCTCTCCACTGAATAGCCTCTCCTAGCAATATGCCCAGAGTATATGAAACGAAGCTTTATCATCTTAGCCTCCAAGGAACACTCTGGCTGCTCTTGGTCCAAGAAACACCTGTTTATTCTTTGGGCAGTCCACTGGATGGATATTCCGTATCATTCTCCAACACCACAGCCCAAAGGCATCAGTTATTCAAATTGCACTAACCTAAACCCACCGCCCTGGGTTCAGCAGAAGAGTAGTACAAGACGGGGATCGTCAGCCAGACTTAAGAGGATGTGTTTCACTATAGATTAAAGTCCTCAAGGCATAGGAATTCCATGTAAAATTGCAAGAAAGAGAATGGAAATACCAAATGAAAGACACAACCTATCTATAGTTGAAGATCTCAACTGACAGACTTCATAGCACTATACCAGGTTGGAGAAGTGTTTTTTAAATAAAAATTACTGTATGCTACTTCTTTTTCTCTAAAGTTGACTATGGTTTTTTTAATTTAATAGTTAAATAAAAATACATCCAGATATTTCCACACTCTTCTGATCACGGTGAAGTCCGCTTTGCTTGTTTGCTGTTTTAGCATCACCCTTTAGTATTATTTTCTGAGGTAATTTGTATCCATCCAGGTTCTCTTGAGATTTATCACGTTGGGCGTTTCTGAAAATTTTTCTCAGAGTAGAAAAACTAAGGTAAAGATGCTCAAGAGAATTTTCACAAGGAATTTAGAAAAATGAAAACTTCAAGTGATTTAAAAGCTTAGAGGAATTTCATTGATTTGTAGTTTACAATAGGAATGATCTAGAAACCATACAGGAAGGACCAGGTGTGTTTTATAAACTTGGCTGAGCTGGGTGACAGCTGTGTTCCTTCACACACCACCACCTGAAGGGAGCTCACCTTCCTTCCACGGAACACGGCTATTTAAAAGCAACAAGTATAAAAGGAATATATGATTAGGTATTCCTGGCCTGACGAGAGTCCAGAATAAGAGCTGCATAGTAAAGGGGGGGGGGGGACTGTATAACAATGAAAGAACTTTTTGCCCAAAGAAGAAAGCAAACTGGGTTGGAGGAAAATGTGCAACAATGAATTGAATGAATGGAAACCCAAGTTCTTTATAAACTTTCATTAAAATCTCAATTTAAAAAAAAGTTTTTAAAAAAGCATCAAGTAGCAAGGGAATATGAATGACTTAACCACTTAAAGGAAATTCCATCTCAAATGTGGGCCTTTGCCAAGAGATAGGAGGGATCATGTCAAGTCCTGCCGAAGTGCCGTGGACTTGTAATGACCATTTTCCATCAAAGGCAGCTCTTCCAGCAGTTGGATTATCCACTTTAAAGCCATCGGAGGCCACTGGCTGCTATTCGCTTGCAGAGGGAAATAGCACTCGCTTGACTTTTGACATAAATTTCTTTCCTTGAATACTAGAATTTTTCAAGAAGCTCTCTTAACAAATAAGAGTTGGAAAAATACAGCTGTGGGGTTTTTTAACATACTAGACCTTCAAGCAAAGCTTTATTTGTGTGTCCTAGAAAGATTTCCCTCCATAATGTCTTTTAATGGGTCTTCAAGCCAAGCAGGAGTGCCTGGAAATCAGCTACACCTCACTCCTTCCCTCACTCCCATGAAATCTGTACCAACTCAGAGCTAGCCCTCCAGCAGATTGTGCACCAAAGGAGATTGTCCAGGAGAATGCTGGTGGATCCATATGGTCCAAGTCCTTGCTCACCTATGAGAAAAAGGGACCATGAACACGAAAATAGTGTTTGCTGGTAGATACTGTTTAATTGCTTTAGAGGAACTGATTCCTTCATTTAATCTTTATAACTACCTGATAAAATGGTTATTGCTATTATCACTGATTTACAGATGAGAAAAACTGCTCCAAGAGGTGCCCCAGGTCAGCACCCCTAGTAAATGGTAGAGCAAATCAGACGCAGTTTGTGCTCCTAGGTCACTCCATGCCACAGTCAAGAGTCTCTCCGGCTAGCTTTAGGTCCTCGGGGCCAAAACGAAACCCACCGCCATGGTGTTGATTCTGGCTCGAAGAGATTCTGTCAAAGGAGTAACTCTACCACACAGACGTCTTGAGGCTGTCGGTCTTTACAAAAGACTTGCCTCATCCTTCTTCCGCGGCGCTGCAGGTCCGTTCTCACCATTGATCTTCCACTTCACCACCAAATACTTGACCCAATGTGTCACCAAGGGATCCTTACACATCCTTACCACTAAGCCACCAGACCTCTGTGCATTTATACAGGGTCCATAAAAGTTCAGTTCTTTCCATTTATTTACGTTTACTAAAAATCTGCCTTTGATAGATTTGGTCATCATATATCTTCAGTATTAAAGGGATTCCTAGAGATCGTCTGATTCAACTTGTTCATTTAGAATCTCTGAAACAATTTGTTTTGTTAGGATAAAATCACAAGGACAGCTGAGAAGTATTAATGGGTCAGTAAAAATTAATAAAATAACAAATATTGGAGACAACTTTTTAAAAAATTCTGTGCTGTGTTAAACAAAATGGAGATTACAGAGATGTGTAAAGCAAGGGTTTCTTTGCTCTATGCTTTTATTATTTACTTCAAAAATAATTAAGTGAGAAGTTATACATGGAAAACAGGGTCTAAAGAGAAAATAATTTTAACCCATATTCTATATTCCAAGTATAAATGGTAGTTCATCGACTATGCAAATGTATTCAACCTCCATGATTCTGAGACCCAGAAAAGGAGGTAAAGCCCACTTTACCTGCTCTAATATGAATCACAGTAGAAAGTCCTCAACAAAGTAGCTAAAATTGTTTAGGGGGCAGGAAAGCCCTTAAAGACATGAAATTGACCAGACCGTGTCCTATCTCTGTCCCTTTCAATCTATATGCAGAACAGATTATCTGGGAGGCTGGGGTCTATGAGGAAAAATGTGGCATCAGGATTGGAAGAAGACTCATCAACAGTCTGTGTTGTGTTATGTTATGCTGATGACACAACCCTGCTCGCTGAAACTGAGGAGGACCTGAAGCACTTGCTGCAGAAGGTCAAGGACTGCAGCCTTCAATACAGATTGAAGCTCAACATCAAAAAAAACAAAGATTCTCACCACTGGGCTGATTGGCAGCCTCGTGATAGATGGTGAAAAGACTGAGATTGTTAACAGCTTTCGTTTGCTTGGCTCCACAATCAACATTAGTGGTACCAGCAGCCAGGAAATTAAAAGACAAATTGGAAAAGTCTGCTGTCAGAGACCTCTCTAAAGTACTGAAGAGCAACAATGTCTTGAGACCAAGGTGCACCTGATCCAGGCCACAGTCTTTGCAATCACTTGCTATGCATCAGAAAGCTGGACAATGACTAGGAATAATAGAAAGAGAACTGATGCCTTTGAGCTGTGTTGCCGGAGAAGATTGTTAAATATACAATGGACTGCCAGGAGAACAAACAGGTTCATCCAAGAGAGGGTGAGACCAGGCTGCTCCTTGGAGGAAGGATTCTGAAGCTTCATCTGACGTACTCAGGACATGTTGCAAGGAGGGACCAGTCCTTGGAGAGGGACATCATGCTTGGGAGGGTGGAAGAACAGCGCAAGAGAGGAAGACTCCCAATGAGATGAATTGATTCAGTGACTGGGGTAATGGGGGTAGGTGTGTCAGAAACAAGATTGGCACAGGATAGAACAGGGTTTAGGGCTATTGTTAGGGTCGCCTTGACGACACATAACAACAACCCTCTACTACAGATTGGCAAAACCCCTGAAGCTACTCTCCTTTTTGTTAGATTTTTAACCTGGAACAAAATAAGGTGCGTCTGACCCAAGTTCTCAATTGCTTTGTATGCATCTGAAAATTGGCCAATAAACAAGGAAGACTAAAAAATAATCAATTCCTCTGAACTGTGATCTTGGCAAAGAGTAGTGAACATACAGAAAGAACAAAAAACAAATCTATGTTTGGGGAAGAGCAACACAGGGCCTCTTAGAGACAAGAATGATGAAACTCACCCCACATAATTGGGGCATACTGTTGGGAGGAGGGATTCCCTTGAAAAAAGACTTCACGCTGGGGAAGGTAAAAGGTCCTGGGAAGTGTGAAGGGTCCCTGAGGAGACGTGCTGCACAGTGGCAGTAACAATGGGTTGAAGCACTCAGCCCTCAACAGGACGCTGTGGTATAGGCTCATTCAGGTATGTTTTTCGTAGGATTGCTGTGAATCGCAGACTTGATGGCACTTAACACATGCAAGGCGAACAATAACACAAGAGCGATGCTCACTCCTTCCACAATCTGCCAGAAAAGGAGAGAAGGGCACTTCC